ATAGTGAATGTTCACTGGAATGCCAAGCGGGGACCCGAATTCACTTGGGAGCGAGAAGACCAGATGCAACAGAAGTATCCGCATCTCTTTCCCTAGTCCATTATTGTGTTCATTTTAGAAAGAATTTCCAGACGAAATTCCCTCTAACGGGGGGATGATGTGACAACCCGATACTTTCTAGTCAACAAAAGTCAATTTCTGTTAAATAAAATTTCGAATTTTATTTATTCTGTTAAGTCCTCGTGGGTTAGAAAATAATCTAAAATATATAATTAAAGGTTATATAAGTTTTCAGAACCAAAAACACTCGAAAAATCAGTAAAATCGTTTAGCCATGCGTTTACGGTCGTAAACCCCTGGGCCGTAAACCCCTGGGATGTAAACCCGTTTACAGCCGAGAACCCAATCCCGACCGTAAACCCAACCGGTATAAAGGTTTTTCCCAGAGAGATTCTTCATTTCTCATATTTTCACCCGAAAATACTCTCAAGTTGCTCCCAAGAACCTCCTAAGAACATTCATATCCACAAGAACAAACCTTCAAATCTTCATCTTTTCACCAAGAACACCAAGAACACCAAGAACAACCTTCATATCTTCAAAGGCTGCAAACCAGTTCACATCCACAAACCAGTTCACAGCCGCAAACCAATTCACAGCCGTAAACCTAGTTTACAGTCGTAAACCTAGTTCACGGCCGCAAACCCAGTTCACGGCCGCAAACAGCCTTGGGCCGGGAACCTTGGCTGAAAACCTTCTTTTTCCACTTCAAACAAGTCTCGGTAACATTCCTAACCCAAAAGCAAGTGTTTTCTAACACTTTAATTAATGGATTCGCTAATTTAAATACAATTATGTGTTTAATTATCATTAGGATACCGTTAATTCCCGCGTACTCCAACTCGAGGGTCATCTTTCCGGTTTTGCTGTCGAGCACGTGCACATAATCAACTGTGAGTTCATACCCCTACACTTTTACTGTTTTTAACGTTTTCAGGAGGAATACAAGCAAAACACAAAGAAATTTTTGTGTTCTTACATAAAGGATTTCAACAGGATTAAAACTTATGCAACTGATACAACCAAGAGATCACTACATTTTATAAAATATTTAGATATTTTATCCCTTTTGTAACATGCTGAGCATAAGGGAAGTTTTCAACATACAAACATAATTACAAAGTTTTCAGTACAATACAAGAATCGAATACATAACATACATGCAAACTATAATAGGTATAGTTTGGGATACAACACACGGTTTATCAATTCCAGAACTTATACATTAACAAACATATAAACTATAATAGATATAGTTTGTGGCATACAATACTACTTTCTAAAACAAGTGTACAATACTAAATAATTATTTAAGTATAATTATTTTTACTCTACAAGTATACTTACAGTTTCGAGTACAAGTGAACACTACAACATTACACGTAAACTAGTTAATACAGGGTTGTGAGGAACTACTTCAATTGTACCCTTCGGGGTGCGGAGCTAAATCCTACCACAGTATAACCAGAGTCTCCTGGAGGGAGAGCGTGAGATTTGTGAATAGATCTATTCGGGACTGACAATCCCACACCTAAACTGCTAGCTACAGTTAGGTAGGCATGCCTGGGGTGACAAATGTCATAACATCCGACGCCTGAAGAACGTCGTAGAGGTCACTAGGTTATATCAAGCATGGTTATACCAAACTCACAACAGTATAAACTGACCATTTGTTTACGGGATTTTAATTCTTCAAATAGTTTTATTTTCATTAATAGAACTATCATACACTACAACTGGAGGATTCCAGGGAATACAAATTCATAGTTTTATTTAAGTAATAAAACTACTATACATACTGGTGGCAGCCAGAGTTTTCATACAAAGGTTTACATACTGGTGATAGCCAGGGTTTTCATACAGAACACATTATACATTACTGGTGATAGCCAGGGTATTCATACAAAGGTTTACATACTGGTGATAGCCAGAGTTTTCATACATAATACATTATACATTACCGGTGATAGCCAGGGTTTTCATACAAAGGTATACATTACTGGTGATAGCCAGGGTTTTCATACAAATGTTTACATACTGGTGATAGCCAGGGTTTTCATACATAACACATTATACATTACTGGTGATAGCCAAGGTTTTCATACAGAACACACTATAAAATACAACTGGTGGTAACCAGGCATACAGACTAACATTTTCATATACTACTACAGAATACAGTAACGAACGTACATTTTAGTATTAGGGTTTAAGACTATTTTTATTACTAAAGAAAATATTGGATTTTCTTGAGAACATGTAAACATTTTACAGATTCACAGACATGTTTTCATTACAAAAACATACTTATGAACGCACCAGCTTAAATGATGATACTCTTTCAAAACCGCTTGTATTCTTAGGGAACCGGTAGACAGGTACACACGTAGGTTTTTGAGAAGATGGAGCTTTTAGAGTCGCATCTTTTATACTTTTAGTTATACATTTTGCTATATTCAAACTATGTACCGAACATATGTAAATACCTTATATATATTCAATGTAATGGTTGTGTTTGCTTTGATTACTATGATTCAATTGTTGTGATACTATACATGATGTCCTCCACCTCCGAACGTTTCCGCCGTTCCGGTTTGGGGTTGTGACACAACGCATCCACCCATGTTCCACATTTTCTAGTGGATTTAGATTTGTACTCTGGTGATTTCTCTCATTTGACATACTTTGTTTGGGGTTGTTATGAACACTTGATGGTTTTAATAAAATTTTATCAATGTTTTTGGGACGTTACAGTATTTTGAGTAGTAGATTGAGGTTGGGTCCCTTTTTATTGTATAGGTGACCAGTAGAGTCACTATTTGGAGCAGTGATCAGTTCAACTATCTTTCAGACTGTGAGGTGGGTCTTCCTCATTGTGCTTGTGGGTTGAAGGCACTAATGCCAACGCAATATGTTATATATCCTAATATATATGATGATGTATGCTGGTTATATGTTAGACTGGTCAATCTGTATGATTACCTGTACTTGCTGGTTATATGTTTATCTGTTGCATATGTCGACATATTGTGTTTGGGTTGAGGTGGTCCTTCTTTGTGCTAAAGGCCAAGATACCCGGGGCAGTCCGAATAAGATGTAGGCACTACAAGGCGGTCCAGTCAGGCCGAAGGCCTTGAGGGCGGTCCAGATAGGTTGTAGGCCCTACGAGACGATCCAGTCATGCTGAAGGCTCATGTATGCATGCTATTATCTATTTGGTGATGCGAGGTACTTGAGGGAACTCACTAAGCTTTTGGCTTACAGTTTGATTTTATGGTTTCTTCAGAGGGCAGGGTAAGGCGAATGCTTGATTGTGCACATCATCCTTCCTTTTTATGTGGTTTATGATTTTGGATATTCTGATTCATGTTTGTTACTTTTGGAACTATGTTTTGTGAAACTTATGGATTTTGGAATGATTTTTAAAAACAAAAATTTTGTCTTGATTTTTAGGATGTTAAGTAGTACTTTAAAAAGTAACATATGTAGCCCCTTAACTTTATAAATTAAAATTTGTTTTATATTTACTAAAAAATGCCTTCAAAGTTCAAATTACCAAACAAAAAAACAATATCTACATAAATATCTATTAACTAAAGGGAAAATGACTTACCAGGGTAATCATCTTTGTCGTTTTGTTCACATTTAGGTAACTTCTTTATTTTTGTACATATTTGAACATTTAACTTGTTATATGTGTTCACAAATTGCCATTGTCACCGGTTATAGCAGGTGACAATGGTAATATGTAAACAAATTAACAAGTTAAATGGTTATATGTGTACAAAAAAAGGAATGTTGCCTAAATGTGAACAAAACGGAAAGTTAATTACACTAATAAGTCATTTTCTCACTTCTAATAGCGATTTTATTTTTGATATTTGTTTTGATATTTTTTTTTCAAGCGTTATTTTAAAATATCTATAATTTCCTAAATATTAATTAAATATTGATCAATTCTAAACCTTACTTTTTAATTAATAAAAATATTTTTGTTTTGTGAAATATTTTACATAGCCTTTTATAATATTTTTCTTTTGTTTTTAAGTATATACAATATTTTTAAAGTAAATAGTATCGAACGATAAAATTAAATAAATTAAATATATAACAATAAGTATGAAGAATCTTTTAAAAAAATAAAAAGAAAATATTACTTAGTGAATAAAAAAAATCTATATATATTTTAAAATTATTACAACTCTTTAATACTTTTTAATTGGAGTTTTATAAACTTTCATTTTTAATACAACGTTTTAAAGTAGTATTTAAACAAAGTATTTTAAAATGTTATAAAAAAATATTAAATTGTCATACAAAATCTATGAACACTTTAAAAATATTGTAAAAGAAAGTTTAGAAAATAAATGTATAAAAGTTATAAAAATTTGTATGAAAATGTAAATTTAAAACATTTATAAAATATTTGGTTTAAAAACACTTATATTAAAGTTATATGAAAGAATAAAAAAAGTTTAAAAATTATAAACAAAGTTTAAAACATTGTATTAGAAAAACCTATAGGTAAAAAAATATCATAAAAATGTTGTAAGATATTATAAAAAAATCTTAAGAAATTTGTTAAAAAAATTGTTTACATTTAAACAATTTTTTTTGTATACATTTGGTCGTTTAACTTGTTAAATGTGTTCACATATTATCATTGTTCATAATAATGGTAATATGTGAACACATTTAACAAGTTAAATGGTCAAATATGTATAGAAAATAAAATTGTCTAAACGTGAGCAAAAGAAAAAATTAAATTATCATCGCAAGTCATTCCCCCCTGATTAAACGGGATGATTGTGAATTTGTGATTTTGGTCGGCCCTTATTTTGTGTGGTGGGCGTCTAAACTCGAAAATGGATTATTTGTACGGAATTTAGCCGAATCAAAGCGTTAAATGGTGGGGGTATGTATGGAATTTTGTCTGGAGGAGAAAAAAAAATAAATAATAAAAAATTAAATTATGGGGAAGGAAAACGACAAGGGTTTTTCATTCGGAGGCAATCAGACTCCTCCGAGATGATGATGAACCACAAGACCCACCACCACCGCTCTTCTCCGTCACGCAACTCTCCGCCAGAAACCCATTCCGGAAAATTAATGTGTGTCATCGCTCTCCCTGTTCCTGCCCTCAACAACAATGATCAAAATTCTTCTGCCGTTTCTCAAATCATCAATGGCGCCTGCAATGTTGGTAGTAAACGGAAGAAAAAACATTCCGATGCTCAAAAATGCACCCACCATGTGCAGGTATCATCCATTCATTTCTCCCTTGTTTGATTTTTGATTGCATATCGCATTTCACAATTGATTATTGCTTCTTTAGTTTCAACTTTATGGGTTAGAAAAAAAATATGTCGGCTTATTGTTGTATAGGGATGTGATCAAGTTAACGCTAAACAGGAGGAGGAGCATCTTGGAAATGAAAAAAAGTTTGTAGATTTTGGTAAGGTGAAAATGAAGAAGAGGAAGGGTTCAGACATTGACGATTTTCAGCATTGTGGAGACAACAAATTGAAGAAAAAGAAGAAGAATAACTCCACAGAAGAGGGGGAGCATATGGTAACTGAAAACACTTTACTACAGCATTTTGGTACGCCTGAGCGCAAGGATGAAATTTCTAACAGGGTGATTGAAACAACTACAGAATGTGATCATTCTAAAAACAAGAGGACACTACAAGTTAATGCTACAAAGGCGGAGGAGATTTTGGGAACTGGAAACACTTCAGAGTATCTTGTTACTGATATGAAGAATGGAGCTCCTAAGAAACACAAAAAGTACAAGAAACAAAAGGATTTGATGGTTAATGAGTCAACTACGGTGGTGAAAAGAAAGAGAATGAAACCTGAGAGCAGAAAGGAGGAGGAACATTTGGTTAAGGACAGTAATTTACAGCATCTTAGTATGCTTGTGTCTAGTAAGGAGGAGGAGAAAAAACAAAGGGTAAAAGAGACAAGCCCACTTTTGAATCAGGTTAATGATGCTAAGAATGAGAAGAAAAAGAAGACATCATTAGATAACACTACAGAAGAGGGTGAACATGTGCAAATTGATAACAACTTACAGAAGCTGAAACATAAGGTTGCAGAGATGACTGCTCATTTGAATGAAGGATGTGAATCTAACAAAAAGAAGAAGAAGAAGAAGAAGAAGAAGAAGAAGAAGAAGCATCTGAGACCCAATGATAGTGCACAAGATTTAGTTAAAGGTGATGAGCAAGATAATGTTTCTAAAAACAAGAAGAGGGAGCGTCTGGTTCTGGATAATCCGTTTTCTGAATTCATGTACACAGGTGGCAGTGGTCATACAATTTCTAATAAGGTAGGTACATTTTGGCATTCAACCTCTCATGGGATTGCTTCCAATGAACAAAATGATCAAAAGACATCACCCTACTTCCACATGGCAGTAGTAAAAGAAGAAAAGCAAGGTTCAATTGATGATCAAAAGGCATCATCAGTAAAAGAAGATGAAGGCTCTCAGAAAAAGAAAGACACGGTCAGAGTGTCACCCTACTTTCAGAAGGCAGTAGCAAAAGAGGAAGAAGCTTCTGTTGGTGATAAGAACAAGTCCAGAGTGAAGGTATCGCCTTACTTTCAAAAGACACTAAAAGGAAAAGTGGCTTCGTCTTCTTCTGCTGTAGGTCGCTGCAATAAAGGGGGGGAAGGAGAATCAACAAAAGATGATAGTAATAATAATAAAAAAGAAAGTGAAAACACCAAGAAAAAGAAGAAGAGATCAGATTACCTTACTGTTGCACAAAAGAGAGATGAGGCATACAAAAAAAAAACTCCAGATAACACATGGATTCCTCCTCGATCCTGTCATAATCTCATTCAGGAGGATCATATCCATGATCCTTGGAGGATTCTCACTATATGTCTACTTTTAAATCAAACACAGGGGTTGCAGGTTTGTTTTCTTTCCTCATTGTTTTCATATGATGCTTTACAGTTTTGTTTTCCGTAATAGATTATTACTGTGTAGGTGAAACGGGTTATATCGGATTTCTTTACTTTATGCCCAGATGCAAAAACTGCTAGTCAGGTTCCAGTACAGGTGATTGAAGAGCTTATAAAACCACTTGGACTACAAAAAAAGAGGTCAACCATGATTCAAGTCCTTTCTGAACAAATTTTGAATGATGAATGGACATATGTTACCGAACTGCATGGCGTTGGGAAGTAAGTTGGCGAACAATATATATATTTTTTTTTGGTGCTTCTTTCGTGTGTGTGTGTGTGTTATGATGTGATATAATTGATACAGGTACGCAGCAGATGCATATGCGATATTTTGCACGGGGCATTGGAACCGCGTGGTGCCCAAGGATCACATGCTAAACAGGTACTGGGAATGGCTTCATGAGAATAAGGAGGCATTGCATTTAGTCGGTTAAGTATCTGAATCTATACAATATCTGATTATATTTATATTTATATTTACAAGTAGAAGAGTATATATATATATATATATATATATATATATATATATATATATATATACACACACACACGTACGTTCCACTCTTGGACTTGTAGTGTGGTTTAGTTTTGAGGTGGTAGGTTTTTGGGGGGAATGGTGTAATGAAAGAGAAAGGTTGTGATTATGTGGATTTGATTTAGTAAACAAGCTTTTTGAGCCATGTGTAATCTCACCCACCACACCCATAAATCAAAAAGAAGATAATAGCCAAATGAAGTTTGCTATAGACTAGTAATTTGGTAAAATTAGAATGCTCAAATCTTGATTGATTGCTTAGGTTGTTGAGTGTATGAATATGATTACACAAGTGACACCCATAAATCAAAAAGAAGATAATAGCCAAATGAAGTTTGCTATAGACTAGTAATTTGGTAAAATTAGAATGCTCAAATCTTGATTGATTGCTTAGGTTGTTGAGTGTATGAATATGATTACACAAGTGAAGATGAGTTGGGTAGCAATTCCTCTCCCAAGAACAGAATTAGAATTGTGCACATAAATGAGTTGTGATAGAGATTGAAATTGATAGGATACTAGCTTGTGTAAGAAAAATTGTAAAAACTGAAACGAATGGAAAGGGGGATAGTTTCTATCGATAAAAACGTAATCTATTGATAAAAACGTAAATGGTCCCTCTCTCACAGAGCATGAATACTCCTGAGCCAATACAAGCATAACAAATAACATGATGATCAAAACAAAATATTCTCCTCCCTTTTATTCTCTTCTCTCTTCCTAACCAACTTAGCAATGACATAAGAAATAGACGAACTATTTCAACAGACGAACTATTGTTCTATTATTGTACTCGGCTCCTTTGAGCCTATCATTCAGGTATATCAAACCCAGACAATCAATCTTCTTTTGTTGAAATAGTTTGTCTATTTCTTATGTCATTGCTTACGTCATTCTTTCAGATTGATTGTCTGGGTTTGATATGTTTATATGAATATATGGATATGTTTGGATAGGGTTCTGCTATTCAGAAATAGACGAACTATTTCAACAGAAGAAGATTGAACAACTCAAATCTTATAATCTCAAATCACTCTGATTTATTCACTAAGGGCAAAGCCCTTTATATAGGCTCCAAAGAGCCGTTTACACACGGTATCTTTACATTATTGCAATCGTATGATTGCAAGAAGACAGACTACTTTACATTAATGTAAATAGGTTTGTCATTAATGTAAATAAAGTATGTAAGACCTTCAATACTCTATGGGGCATTAATGTAAATAGGTTTGTCATATTGCAATCAACCGATTGCAGTTCTATTATTGTACTCGGCTCCTTTGAGCCTATAAATAGGGCCTTTGCCCATATGGAATGAACAAGCTAAAATTGAGTGTTTAAGATTTGAGTTGTTCTCAATCTTCTTCTGTTGAAATAGATTTTCTATTTCTGAATAGCAGAACCCTATCCAAACATATCCATATATTCATATAAACATATCAAACCCAGACAATCAATCCATCGTCAATCCATTCCGACGCATCATTCAGGTATATTCTGTCTTAATTTTATTAATTCCGCCATGTCTTAATTTTAAAATAATATTTCTATTAGGAATACAATTCATCAAAATTTTGTTAGACATAAATATATATTTCAAGCATGAATTTGATTAATCTGATTATTAAGAACGAGTATTATTTTAATAAAAATTTCAAATTTTGTAGAATTAATAGTTAAAACAACTCGAAATGATACTATCATTAAGAAATAAAAGTGATCTAACAATTGAAAATATCTTGAAACATATTTATGGTATTAAATCTTCTTACGATAAATATTTTAAGGAATGACGTAAGCAATGACATAAGAAGCCATTATTAAAGAAGACATATTATTGAAGACATGTGGTCTTTCAATATGGAAAGGAATTTGTAATTATTTATGGTTTTGTCTTTTATAATTATTGTATGCAAAGTGTCGGTAGCATAGTAAAATAAAATTAAGACAGAATATACCTGAATGATGCGTCGGAATGGATTGACGATGGATTGATTGTCTGGGTTTGATATGTTTATATGAATATATGGATATGTTTGGATAGGGTTCTGCTATTCAGAAATAGAAAATCTATTTCAACAGAAGAAGATTGAGAACAACTCAAATCTTAAACACTCAATTTTAGCTTGTTCATTCCATATGGGCAAAGGCCCTATTTATAGGCTCAAAGGAGCCGAGTACAATAATAGAACTGCAATCGGTTGATTGCAATATGACAAACCTATTTACATTAATGCCCCCTAGAGTATTGAAGGTCTTACATACTTTATTTTACTATGCTACCGACACTTTGCATACAATAATTATAAAAGACAAAACCATAAATAATTACAAATTCCTTTCCATATTGAAAGGTCACATGTCTTCAATAATGTGTCTTCTTTAATAATGACTTCTTATGTCATTGCTTACGTCATTCCTCCCGCCTCCGAAAAGACATGTTTTTGAATAATGTTTGCTTTTGTCATGGCTGACGTTAATCTTCCATGAATGGTGTTTCTTCTGTGTTTTCTGAACAGTGACTGCAATTGTGTCTTGGAGCATGCATAATATGTTTGCAAAGTTGTTTCTTGATATCATCGGGTAATTCAGCCAGTTGATGAGAAAATTTTTCGAAAGGTTGTTCGAATGTTTCAATTGCTTTCATTGCTTCCGGAGTGATTTCATTGTCTGTTAAAGAGTAGATAATGAAAGTTTTACTAGCATAATTTACTCTGATTCTTGACCTTTGATCTTTACCGTTGCCAATGCGTGATGATGCTAAATAAACACCGGCAAGTGCAAAGATTAGATGTTCTTGTGTTGGGGATTCATGGGGTAGATCATCTTTTGTTGGTTTTGAGCCGTTGCTTATTCCCATGTTTGCAAAAGTAATACTTGGGACAATTAGTTGAGATTCTTCATAAAAAATTGGGTAGCTGGAATGCATTTTGATGAATAATCCTCTTTCTTGTTTTGCAAAGCGTATTTTATAATTTCTGATGATAGTTTGCACAGCAGAAGGGAATTCGATGATGCAGTGTAGATTGGTGCCTTCTAGATAGATGGTGTCGATGAACCCATGAATAAAATAATCCCATAAAGTCATAGGATCTGATAAATCGGCTAGGAAAACTGCTTTAGGGCCTGGGCGCCTGGCTACTGGGTAAAAACCCATTAAAGAATGGACCTCGGTCTAGGAAACGAGGCTATCCCATAATTCGGCGAATTTTTTGGCAGATGGTTTTTTCATGGCTTCCTTTTCTTTGGTTGATAGAATGGATTCAAGGGCAATTTTTGCATTTAATTGGTTAAGGGATCTTGGGATGGATACAGGTTTTTGTGGTGTGAAGCTGGTCATAGGTTTTTGTGGTGTTAGGAGAACTGTTTTTGAACATTCTACGTTATCTTTTATTACTGCTTTGTAAGCTTCGTTGTATGCGGCTTCTGCTTCATTTTTCGTTTTGTAGCTTTTGTGAATGATATTTTTTTCAAGAATATATGAACTGGCGATTCCCCAGTTGTCATATACTCCTTTGTTTTCTCCATTGAAAATCACGTACCATTTCTTTATATTTTGATCTGCTTGAAGTGGTGGATATTTTTCTGGCTTTTGTATTATAGGTTGTTTTTCTAACTTGAGCACTGTTTGTGGCTGACTATCATCGGATGAAATTTCTTGAATGTCTTCTTTTGGTTGCTTCGTTGTTGAACTGCTAGCTGCTTCTTCTTTAGGTACTGATTGAGATGATAGAATTTGTATTGTTTGTCGTAGTTGTTCTTTTTCTCGTCTGACTGCTTCGAGTTGTTTGACTAACGATGCTTCTTGATCTTCTTTCTGTTTGAACTGGTGTTTGATTCATGATTGCTTCCATTTCGATATATTTGTGGACTGAATGTTTGCGTTTCTTGAGTACCTGAATAATTGCTGAAATTTGTTTGTTTCGAATGATGATATTAGAATTTTCATATCAATGTATGCTTTTAGTGATATATTCATATCACTGTATGCTTTTGGTGATATATTCATATCACTATATACTTTATTATTGTTTACTTCAGATGGTACTTTCATACCATTGTATGCTTTAGCAATGTATATTCCAGATAGATTAGATATGAGGTTTCCCTCAAGTTCTAATTCTAGTAATACTTTTTCCATAGGATTATGTACCTGCATCTGAATTAGAATCAGTTGTATATGCATAAATATCTATATCTGAATTTATATCTGAATCTTCTATGGGTTCGTATCCAAGGTCGTATGCAATTTTTAATATATTTGTTTCTTTTTCTTTTTTAGTCTTTTTCGGGCATTCATAAGCTTTGTGTCCTTCTTCTTGACATATCCAACATTTACAATCTTTTTTGTTTGATGGACAATAATTTGTTTTGGATTGATATTTTTGTTTATATTGTTTTCTATTCCGGAAGTATTTTCTTTCCCCTTGTTTATAATATTCTTTGTATTTAGGTTTATATGTTTGTTTTTTCCAAATTTTCTTTTTACTTTGTTGTTTTTCTTTACAACCATATTGATTTACTTTGTTAGAAAGGATGTCACAACATAAATCAATTTTTGCATCTTGTGCTGTTTTTTGTTCTAAACATTTTTTCTGCATCCATGCTTTTAATATGCTTATTCGTGCTCCTAAGGTGTCTGCAACTTTATTTTGTTGTAATGCTTATTGGAAATCTTTTATTACACTTTGGCTTACTAATGATGGTAATTTTTGATAGAACATATCTAAAGCTGCCTTTTTTCTAGTGGGATCTAAATTATAATAATGTTCGGAATATTCGCATATAAATGGTTCTAGATAACACATATTACAAATTCGTAAATTAGTTAGATGTCATAATGATTCTAATTGAAAAGCTTCTTTTGATATTTTATCTTCAATTTGTTTTCCTATGAATTCCTGAATAAGACGGTTTAATACATTTTTAAATGTTTCCATAGCATCAGTGGTGGCTAT